AACTATTAGATTAAAGTCAGAATTCTGAGAACAAAATCAGAATTCTGAGATTAAAGTCAGAATTCTGATAAAAAAAAGTCAGAATTCTGACTTTTTTCCATATTAAACTGAAATAATATTGAAAAATGAATTTAAAAAAATCACTTTTTTTAATTTTTCAGTGGCCCTAGTAGTTAAGAAATATAGACAGCTCAGATTTGTCGTTTTTACCTTATTAAATGAACGTTTCTACCTTAATAAACTAAGTAGATTGTAACAATTTACAGTTTGTCAGAACACAACATTATTATTCATGGCTAACCCATTTGTTTAGAAGTATCTAAATCGTTCAGTTTAAGCGTTAAAACTCAGGAGTCAACTGTTCCCATGTGCATTGGTGGATATAATGTTTCTGAAATGTCATTAGTGAATTTATTTTAGGACATGGCAAGCTGTCCTGGCGCGGATCTTGGTGGTTAGTGTATCTGTTTCAGCGCTCCTGCTGGACAACTTGTCGGACTGAAACATTGCGGACTAAACAGGGATATCATGACTGTTTTTTTTAATAAAACACGAGGCTAATAATAAAACGACCAGATTGAGGTCCTTGCTCCGACTCATCAGAGAGAGGAGCTGCAACATGAAGTAACCCTGTTGTAATGAAGTCGTTAATGGCGCTTGCTGAGTTATTAGGATGTCCGGAGAGGCACCCCCCTTTCCCGACCAGAATGGAACATCCTGGAAATGGGTTGATCTGTTCTGACTGAAGAAGGAGTTTGAAATGACAACATCGCGGGGGATAAGTTCACTTCAGCCCCGCTGTAGTGGCCGTGGGAGGACAGGGGGAGCTGAACTAACATGATACAGCACTGGTTCTACTTTATAAGTTTCTTTTTTTTTTCTCCAGCGCGAGCAAAATTTTTATTTTTTGTTGAGACGCTAAAACGTGTTTGAAGTTTCTGTGTTTTTATGGGAATGATTCCCCAGTTTTCTGTTAAAGGTAGGTTCATCCATCTGCATGCAAACTAGTCCTGCTTTACTGGCTGTTGTTGAAGTTCACACTGTTCTAAAAATCAAATATATATATATATATATATATATATATATATATATATATATATATATATATATATATATATATATATGTGTGTGTGTGTGTGTGTGTGTGTGTGTGCGTTAAAGGCAATAGATTTGCAAAGTATTTTTTTGTATGAGTGGAAGATATGTGGATGTTTTTTGTTTTCTCAAGTTTGCTTTTCTAACCTTTTTTCTACACACTAAAGAACTGCAAAAGCACACAGTCTGAATATGTTCCCATTCAGTAAAAAAAGTTTTACTTTCACAAGTTTGGATGTTATTGTACACTAAATTTGGTACGATTCCTATTTTCATATTTAAATATAATGTACTATAAATTAACTTGTCCTTTAAAGTGCTTTTTATTAAAATGTGAATCTTTCAGTCCGAACACTATATGCAGATAAATTTTTACTGAAGGACTTCCCCTTTGTGCCCTATATAACAGTTTTGCCCCTTAAACCTAATAACAGCTTGTGCCACCCTATATCACCTTTTAACAGTTATTTAAAGGATTTCTTTCCAGCGCTTCTTTGCAGAACAGTTTGGTTTAGAGCCTTACAGGCTGTGCCACCATGTCTTAATCCAAACTTTCTCAAAGACAGTCAAATCCTTATTCAGTTAAAGTTTATGCCATTCGGAGTTTGACTTGTTGGTGTGGTATGGACACCTATCATGCTGCACAACACTGGTGCATTTGAGCTTATAAGGTTATGAATTAATGGCTTGACACTCTTCTCTATGTGAGAGAGCAGCATTCACTAGGAGATGAATAAGCAAACCAGCGGCTGACTGTCCCACTGCCACCACCATGTTAGGCAGTATGTTCTCTTTCTGACTTATCTTGTGTGCTTAAAATATTTAATCTTTGTTTCATCAAAGAGGCTCTACTGAGGTGTATTCTTGATTCTACAGGTAGGGAACTAGGGTGGTCAATTTTAAATTTCTAAACAAGTGGGTAATTACATGTAATTTAAAGAATTATGTTCTTTCTCTGGAAAAAAAAAGGTTAGTTTTCCCATTTTTAAATAAATACATAATCTGAAAACTCCCTTTTATTTTACTCTGTTAGCTCTGTTAGATATAAAACAGTATGTGATGCTGTGTTGCAAACAATGTATGTAGAGAAATGGCCTCCACTTCAGGAATTTCTAACCCTAAATTCTCCTTTCTAAATTCTAGAGGGACACTCTGTTCTGTCGAGACACATCTAAAGACATGTTGTACTGGGCTTTCTGTGACTGGAGAGTACCACTCCTGATGGTTCTGCTGTGGGATGGTCTTTGTGCTTTGGGAGTGAAGCCCACGAGATGGCCCCTGTTCTCCCAAAAGCCCCTACTCCTCGCCTGGAATGTCCCAACGCAGGAATGTGGCCCCCGGCACGGCGTATCTTTCCAGCTGGACCAGTTCCAGATCGTTGCCACCCCAAATGAGGGCTTTGTCAGGCAGAACTTGACCATATTCTATCAGGACCGCCTGGGCTTGTACCCCTACTTTGAGGGAGGTGAAAGACCAGTGCGTGGGGGGCTGCCGCAGGTTGTCTCTCTCTCTCAGCACCTCAATGAAATGCAGAAAGGTGTTAATAGGTACATACCAAACCAAGAGGCTGTAGGTTTAGCAGTTATTGACTGGGAAGAGTGGCGGCCTCTCTGGATACGAAACTGGGGAGCCAAAAATATCTATCGCGAACATTCTCGTGACCTGGTGCGCCAGAAGAACCCAACATGGTCTGAGGAGCAGGTGGGAAAAGTGGCCCAGCAGGAATTTGAGATGTCTGCCAAGAAGTTCATGCTTGAGACGCTCAGGCACGCTAAACACCTGAGACCCAACCAGCTGTGGGGGTTTTACCTGTTCCCAGACTGCTACAACCACGACTACCTACGCTCTCTGGACAGCTACACGGGCCGCTGCCCCGACGTGGAAATGACCCGCAACGATCATCTGAGGTGGCTGTGGTCTGAGAGCACGGCCCTCTTTCCCTCCGTATACATGGGAACAGTGCTGCGTTCCTCTTCCTCAGGACGGCAGTTTGTGCGGAACCGAGTGAAGGAAGGGATGCGTTTAGCTTCATCCGGCGATGGGCTGGCACGTCCTGTCTTTGTGTACACCCGGCCCACCTACATCAACTCCCTGGAACAGCTGACAGAGGTGACACTGCCCCCTTTTAACCTCTCTTGCTGACAAGTTTGATTTAAGATGTAGAAACTTTTTGTATCCTCTTTTATAGTGTCCTGTAAGTGAAACTTAACACTATGCACTTTTTTCATCCCTTAAAACAAAAAGTATTTCAATCACAGATCCTACTCATGCTAAGTGGCACTACATCAGTTCAGCTTTCCTTATCGGCAGCCACAGTCCTTTCCTGTTTTGGTAGCAGTCACACATCAGCTGCCAGGAAGGGTGTTAGTTACGATGAAAACCTGCCTCATTACCCTTAAAAATAGAAAGAGGATGAATAAAATCTTATATGACAGTTTTATTTTTATTTTGAAACAGTTTTGTTGATTTGTGCATTTTAAGAGCTGGATCCTCTTTTCAGTTTGACCTTGTGTCCACCATTGGGGAGAGTGTTGCTCTGGGAGCAGCAGGGATTATCCTGTGGGGAGATGCAACATATACAACCAACAAGGTAATAATCCGCTCACTCAATACCTCCAACCTCACATGTGAGTCGCTTTTTAAGGAGTTTTATTTTTCAGATCAACTCAAAGCAGAATTCAACGATGAAGTGGATGAAATACATAAAATGTTTTTCTTTTTTGAAATGCTTTGCTATTTCATTAATTTATGGGCTTTCATTTTCAAGTCTTGCCATAATTATGAAGTAGATTTCAGTCCAGGCCGTACTATAAATAAAATATTTAGAACTATATCTCTATAAAGTGTCAGCCATGTTCCCTGGGTGCCTTTAACAACACTTTATTTATGGTATTGGGGTATTGGAGTAAAGGGGACAGATCCATATCACAGTTGTTTTATTTTTATTACATCCGCTTTTTCATGAAGTTTGTGTGTTTGTTGGTTTGTTTGTCTGTCTGTATCAAGATAACTTGAAAAGTTATCAACGGATTTTAATGACATTTTTACCAAATGTAAATCTCAGTCAAAGGGACAATCCATCACATCATAATTTGGATGCAGGAATTTCTTAAAGGATTCTTTAACATTACTTGGTGGAACAAATAATGCAACAGCCCATTGCTCCCCAAGGGGATGGGTTAAATTTTGGCTGCTTTTTGGAGGTCTGCGCTCTCAGGGTGCTTTTCTAGTTTAAAGATAGTTTTAAAATGATCTACAATGTCCCTTTTATTTTATGGTTATTTTGCTTTGGTTTATCACATTAACCTTATTGAATATATTCAAGTTTAGAGCCGTAATATTACAAAAAGTGAGAAAGTTGAGTATTTATTAAAACTTTTGCCCAACACTGTTTTCTTTGTGAGATTTGATAATGATCCTGTGACTGTTTCTCACATGTGAAGTAATTTGAAACTCAGGGCTCCAGGTCAGTAGAATACCAACAAATATACTGAAGTAAGAGTAGCACTAACTTTTGTTCATCCAGTAAAAGTTGAAAGTAATCATCAAATGAAAAGTAAACAGTTCCTCATCAAATGGCTCCTCAAGTACTGAGTAATTGTTCATAAAATCTGTTTTTTTTTTTTTTCAAATGATTTAAGAGAGATTCATATGCAAATTCTGGTGTTCCAAAGTATAATATGGAATGATTACCACATGACACATTCAAACAAAAGAAACACTTTTCCAAATCAAATGTTTCAACATAAAAATTAATACCAGCAGGTAATGCATATTATTGTCAGCAAAGGCTAAATTACTTCCAGTGACAATAATCATCTCCAGATAACCAAACTTACTCTGGTGTGGGTAGAGTAACATTCTACTCATCTAAGAGTAGCTGTACTCTCCCAAGAATATTAAACATAAAAGAGTGCAGTAAAGTAAAACTACTCCTAATAGTACATATTATTCTAAAAGTTGCTCAAGTAAATTCTAGAAGTCTAAGACATCTGCTCTGCAGATACAGAGAAGAAAGTTGTCTGAAGGAACCTTAAAGTTTTAGTGATGGCTGCAAAAGGTGGAAACAGGAAACTTATTTCAAAGGGAGGAAATCATAGACCTATAGAATTATGAAGAAGTAATAACCTGCGCCACTTTTCCTTATTTTGCTGTGTTATGGATGGTTTAGGGGCTGCTTTTAGTTAGAGGGTGTGTAGACATCAGTCTGGGACAACTTGCAGTTATGTGGGCTATAAAAACCTTGTGCAAAGTTCAGATCTCTATCTCCTCCCTCATGTCTGCTGTTTGCACATCTGTGCTCACCCAGCAGAACAGAGGGCTTGAATGTAAAACCCATCAACTGAGGGGCTTCTTCCAAGATTGTGCACGGGCAACATTTGGCACAGACATGCTTTTTGTGCTTTGGATTACAAGCTGTGACACAGCAAGTAGAAATGTTTGATTTACTGATCTGTTCTGGGAAAGAAATTTAAATACCTAACAAAATGTTTTCCCTGATCTCTGATAACCTAATACAGGGTGAACATTTATTGTGCAATATTAATTGAAGATTGTCTCATTATTTCTTATGTTGTTTGATTTCTACATGCCTACAGCGTGGCCATTTTCTTTATGTGATAGTTGCACCACAAGGGAGAAACATTTTGATACCGTGGCATGCAATCAGATAAAACACAAAAACACAATGCACAATTAGTGCATGTAATATTATACTAGAGCAATACTAATAATAATGTAATAACCATAAGAGCTGGACTGGTCTTGTTATGGAAAGTAAATGTAAATTTTTTAGTGCCTTAGCTCCAATAGACAGAGGTTCGAGCATAATTTGGGGGGCTTAGGAAGACGATATCACATACAAAGTTTATATATATATTCATTGTGTGTATTTTTGCTGTGAGTTTGTTGATAGGTTTAAAATTAAAGATTCACACTTCACTAATCTAGATGTCTATCTAGAGCTTTTTCCCCCTTTAAAAATACACCAAAACAAAAAATAAGAGTTTTTTTCCTGATATTATTCATTAATACTTTATAGAAATGAACATTAAATTCAAAAGACAAAAACACTAAGCATTGAGTAATGAGTTGATCTTTTGTTATTGACCAAATACTTATTTTCCACCTTGATTTGCATATAAGTTATTTAAAAGTCCTACAATGGGATTTTTCTGGATTTGTTATTGTCTCATATCCCTCATATATGTTTTCTTTAGATTTTATTTTATTTTCTTATTCTCCAGAACTTTATTGCTTTTTAATATCTCTGTTATGATAACCTAATAGCGAGTAAAGAAATGATGATTGATAGTTATGATTTAAAATGTCCCTGCCTATTAAATGTAAATAGTTTTCTCTCTCTTTAGACCACCTGCTCTGACCTGAACAAGTACCTCCAGGGCACGCTGAGTCCATACCTCCTCAATGTCTCCACAGCAGCAGAGCTCTGCAGCCAAACCCTGTGTGGTTCCCACGGCCGCTGTCTGCGCAAACACCCTGACAGTGATGTTTACCTTCACCTCAACCCCGTCACACACAGAATCGAGAGACAAAATGGCAAATATTCGGTCATCGGTGAGCTGGGAGATACAGATAAAGTACTTTTTGAAAAAGACTTTCAGTGCCAGTGCTACAGGGGCTTTAAGGGTGAGGCTTGTAATCACAGCGACCCTCTGCACCAGAGAGGGTCGGCGCCGCAAACCAGAACACCATTGTTGCTGTGTGTAATGTTGCTTATAGCCTTTGTGCTCCTGTGTTAATGCCAAGCACATATTTGCAAATACACTTCCTATTTATTTCAGTTAATTTTCACATTCTGCTGTGCCAAAAACAGGAGGCTATTTTATTAGTATTTTTTTGTGACAACATAAAATAGTTTTTCACTGACTGTTTACGGAAATCTTCCCCTGCCACAGCCTCCAACACGCTTTTTCTCCCACCATCTCTTTGAATTTACAACTTTCCAATAAACTTAAATACTTACTTACTCTGGTGAACAAAATCATCCCCACAGCATGATGCTGCCAGTGCCATGTTTTACCATAGCGGGGATGTTTTTCTAGAGTCCCAGTTGGAGTGTCCTCTTCCACATGTTTGTTGTGTCACTTGTAAGAATTAAAAGAACCACAAACAAGACTTATGATAATATATTTTTTGCCACTCTTTTATGAAGACCAGATTAGTTCCAAGCATTATTAATAGTTTCCTACCAACATATTCTCTTATTTAAGATGTAAATCTATTTTTCAGAATGATGGCTTCAACAGAGAAGCAAGCCACCACACTTTCCTGTAGATTTGCAGTACTTTTTACCTTTAAAAATTATTTGAATACTGCTGGGAGAGATCTTGGATATTTTTTCTAATCACACAGTTGCTTTAAAATTTACCACATCTATATCGCTGACCAATCTGCTTTTTCTTGGTGTTTGTTATGATATTTTGTCACTGTTGTTCTCCACCAAACCTGTGAGTGCTGTATACAGAGATTAAATTACACTCTGCTGACTTCTGAAAGTAGTTAGTTGCAGTTTTAACGGGGATTGATCACATACTATGACTATAAAAAAAAACAAAAAAACCCCCATAAAAGTATCTTTAAATATAACAATCCTGATGATGTATACTTTGTCTTTCTTACAGCCCAAAAAAGTTCGTACAATCAGCAGACATGAACATTGTAGGAGGGCATCTGTCCACAGCTTAAATTACCAAATTAATACTTGAATAATGACAGATATTGAAAAACATTAGTGAAATATCAACGCTCTCACTTTAGTGAACACCAATGTTCTTATTGTCATCCCAGGACTGCGGTTGTCTTCTCCTTGGCATGCAGTATTTTTTTTTCACTTTTTTCGACATTTGATCTTAAATTCTTCCTATTTCGTCTCACGCCTCTGGCTGGTGTTGCTGACTTGTTCTGCTTCATTACATTAGACATAGTGCAATAACAAATGCAGACAAAACAGAAATACAAAAATAAGCCAACCGGGCGCTATAATTTACTCTGAAAACCTTTGCATGACACCACAGAGAGCTACTAGAGATATGTCAAATAGTACATAGCAAATGCCCCTTTAAGGGGAAACCAAGTGAAACGCACACAATGCAAATCTATGCCACATCTTCCATAAATACTGAAAAGAAAAATGGGAAGATGTTAAGACTAGTACATGCAGTCACCAAGAGGGATTAGTATTTTTTTTTTGCTGCAAAACCTTCCTGACAGAAAGTCTAACTAGTATAAACAATGGGACTGAAAAGAGATTTCTGTTTATAAATTATGAGTGTTCTTTTAAACGGCAGAGGGCTCGCTGGAAATTAAACTGTTTACATTATGCTCTCTGCTTCCACCTTGGTTACTGTTTCCCAAGGTGTCAGATTTTTCATTTCCCTCGGAGATCTGAGGCTTCTGTTTTAAATGTGTTGAATGAAGTGAAGAAACAAAGTTGTTACTGGGTGGCCAGTGTGGAAATAAAGCACTTAAATCAACTTGGAGCACAACGTACCAGAAGTGCTAGATTTTTTATTATTTTTCCCAATGTGACCACTCTCTGGTGTCTGTTTTTCATGCAGGCAATGCAGTAATACTATTTATTTGAATGTATTTTTTAGTGATTTCTAGTTCTAAATCATGACTACTAATGCCTTTTTATACTAGAGATAGTGTATGTGTTTTTTCTTGACCTCCAAAGCCCAGTACATGAACTTCATTTGTGGTTAATAATGGAAAATAATTTAGCTTATACACCTGTCAGAATACACGCTGTTTTCTTCCGAATTGTCTTTGTAAATAAAGTGTTTTTCTTAAGCCTGTGTAGTTTCTTATATAAATCACTGGAAGCGTCAATGTTAGGTCTGATTTTTGTAATAATTAAAGTTAGAAATTTGCTAATAAAAGTGAAGTGTCTATAGGTTGTCTTTGTGACTTGTTCATCAGGAAAGTCCGTGCCTATTCCCAGACATGCAGCAGCCTCTTACTCCGTCCTTTTGTAATTACAGGGTGCTGGTAGCCAAAAGTTATTTATACTACTTTAATGAGCTGAGCAAAGCTTACATATGAATTTGGATGCGTAGGAGTTCATTATGGCTTTCTTGATTGTCTCCTCAGACCCTGTGACCTCCCCAGGTTGCTTCAATAAACAGTTTTTAGTTATGTTTATGTGTTTATATTAGAAGCTGTAGCAGAAACCGGATGGCTTGATTTTTTTTTTCTTGCCTGTGACTTTAAAAGGCTGCTTTTACAGGATTTGCATGTCTCTTCTCATTTGTTGGTAGAAATCTTGTGCTTATGTCGGATTGGTTCCAATTTTCTTCTTTCACTTCCCCTTTCCTTGCTGTTTCCCTCCCTGTCCCAGCCGGTCATGAGACCTATGGTGAGCAAACCACAAATTAGAACCTCTTGAAGGTTGTTCACTGGGTAAGTTTTTTTCCAATACAAACACAAGTCAGCTATAGATTTTCTGCTAACCATGCTTATTTCACTGTGTATGAAATCATCCATTGTTTTAAATCAGTTTACAAGTCTTACCAAGTTTTTTTTGCAATTCAGTGTATGTGTAAACTCTTGCCTTACCTCTTACACCTGAACATGCTTACACATGCTTTAAATCAGAGTAACAATGGGGCTTTTTGCTGCTTTCCTGATTTCTCATTTCTTGCCTAACCCAACTTATGTTTTTAGACAACACTCAAGATCTTTGAAATTAGTTTGGGAGTTTGACTAGGAAACGTTGGTGTTTCCATACGGATTAATTTATCTATCAGGACACAATTCTATGCTATAGAGGCTTGTTTTTGCAGCTTCTTTCTGGTTTCTCTTCCAGAATTCTCTTATAATGAGTTCTACCCATCCATCATCTTTTTACAGCTGTCCTGTTTTTTTAAGGAACAACTACGACAATGATAATGCCATCATCATGTTACATCATGCTGTTACAGTGTTCAGTGTTTTCACCTGAGTTGCGGATCTCTGCAGGTCCTCCAGACCTACCATGGGGCTCTTGGCTGCTCCTTTGATAAATGCAATTTTTTTTTTTTTGCCTAATTTTATACTATTGGATACCATTATGGCAGTTCTTTTCTGTTAAATATCTACAAGTTTTACTGCAAATTCACAGCTTATTGTATGTATGCTTTAACATAAACTGCGTCATTCTAAAGCAGGAGTGCAGCAGCATTAATTTGACATTTTGTTTTTGATGATTTAGCAAATTTCTTGCAATTTTTGTTCCCCTTTTTAGCCATGAGTTCCTCTCACCCGGAGGTGCTGCTCGTCTTTGGTCTCCTCAGTCTAACTTCAGGGCTGCAGGTTGCCTCTCCTTTTACACAGGTGCCATTTCTCACTGTGTGGAATGCCCCCACTGAGAACTGCCTCTCCAAGTATGGAGTGGATCTCGACTTGGGGATGTTTAGCATTGTCCAGAACCAGAATCAAACCTTCTTGGGTGAAAACATCACTATCTTTTACACTGACAAGCTTGGGCTGTACCCAAGGTACTCTGCCCAGGGCCAGGCCATCAACGGTGGGGTTCCACAGAACAGCAGCTTAGAGACACACCTCAGAGTCAGCACTGAAGATATAGACCATTACATCCCTAACAGAGACTTCCAAGGCCTGGCTGTGGTGGACTGGGAGAGCTGGCGCCCTGTGTGGGAGAGAAACTGGGACAGTAAAAAGGTGTACAAGGAGGGGTCCATTGCACTGGTGAGGTCCAGGCATCCAGATTGGACTCCTGCTCAGGTGGAGGCAGCAGCACGGGTCGAGTTTGAGCAATTTGGAAGGCAATTCATGGAGGAAACCCAGAAACTGGGACAAAAAATGAGGCCAAATGGTTTGTGGGGATTTTATGGATTTCCCAACTGCTACAATCATTACAATAAGAGCGAAAACTACACAGGGAAGTGTCCAGATGTGGAGATAAAAAGGAACGATGAGTTATTCTGGCTGTGGAACGCCTCCACGGCTCTTTACCCTGACATCTACTTGAGCGTCGAAATGCGAGGCCTCGGTGAGGAAGTTCTTCTCTATGTTCATCACCGCATTTTGGAGGCCCTGAGAGCGGCGGATTACGTGACCCCTTCCCAACTGCCCATCTTTCCCTATGCCCGCATTGTCTACACCTACTCCTTGGAGTTTCTTTCCAAGGTTAGTGACGGGTTAATACCCTCAAACATTTCTTCTTTATCTAAAAAATTTAAAAAATTTAATGTTTTCATCCCTCAGGAGCATCTAATCTACACTGTTGGAGAGAGTACCGCTTTAGGAGCTGCAGGGGTGGTGCTTTGGGGGGACCATACTTTTGATAAATCTAAGGTAAGCTGGCTGTTATAACTCTATAGAGAGCTGAAGTAATTCAACCTTACTTTAGATAGATGTAGGGATCAAATTCAGGTCAGTTATTGTTTTTTTTTTTTTTTATGGATATAAAGGCACCTGTTAAGAATGCATGATACTAGAGAATCCTGGTGTAATGCTGTCAGTGTTGACTTGAAGACAAGTGGAGGTTAATAACACCAGATTCTGGAAGAGAACCCTCCTTAGGCTGTAAAACAACAAAAAAAAGGTATTAAAACACCTAAACATACAGTCAGAACTAAAACTTTGGACCCTGAGTGTTCCATATGACTTGGGTTACTCCCTCATAATTACCCTCATAAAAATTTGGTTTATTTTGTTTATCACATGCCACCTCACCTTCTTTATATTAATTGCTTTATCTAGTCAGTTGATGCCACAAGACACATGTAACTAAATACACTGAGGATTTTTTTTTAATTGTGTGCTGTTTGTCTTGTATAGGCTACCTGTGAAGCAGTCAAATTCTATATTGATGAGACTTTAGGTCCCTACCTGGTCAACGTGACATCAGCCGCTGCTCTCTGCAGTCAGGTTTTATGCTCCTCTAGGGGAAGATGTCAGAGGGCAGACCCAAAGTCAAAGGCCTACCTCCACCTCAACTCCACGTCATGGAAGATCCTGTCCAAGAAGAAACCAACTGGAGGGACAAACTACAGTGTTTTAGGGCAGATGGATGCCCAAAGTTTAGAGCAAATGAAGTCTGAGTTTCTGTGCAGGTGTTATCCTGGGTGGGGTGGGAAGGACTGCTCCAAACAAATTTAAGGATTCAAATGGTTTTAGGTGATACAAGATGGGAAGTGTAAACCAGGGTCTTTCTATTTTAACTGCTGGTACTCTAGCTTCTTCACAGAAGCCCAAGATGGAGGTTTAAGAAGTGGAAACGACTGGTTGTGTGATAGACTTGAAGGTCCTAAAAAGGGTCCAAAAGGTTGATCTTCCCAATTTCAAATTGCTAAAATATAGTTTAAATCATGATTTATTTTTATATAAGTGTTGGGGGAATTATCTTTTTTTAATAGCGGTGGTTATTATGTTTGTTTTTCTAAATATACCTTTTGTGACATTGTTTACCTATAAAATAATAATTTCCTTTTGCAGACTGCAAACATCATTTTGGTGGCCAGAATGTATTAAAAACTTTTTATCCATATCCTGAATGAAAATCTTATCATATTAAAATATTTGATTTTGTGTTTTTTTGTTTATCTTTCATCCTAATATAATATTGCAAGCAACAATTGCTCCTTTGTAGTTGTTTCCATAGATGTTGTTTTTATATGCAAATTAAATGCTGAAAAAAATAGCCTAAAGTCAGCCATGTTTCTGATATAATATACTTAATAATGGGGTTATTTAATCATTTAATCTGGCTCCCTCCCTTCATCAATATTATTTAAACTTTTTCTATATTTCAATTGGTGATTTAAGCAAGTGTAAGAATGCCCTTGACTTCTGTAAACTTACAGTCATCTGCCTTAATTGAAGAGGATGCAGTCATATCTGTCCCATTTTGAATAGTGGCTGAGAAGGAGTTGTCATGTGGCCTTATATTTATTACCCTGGGGAAACAGGACATCATGCAGTATTATGAGTTTGGTTACACGTCATATTAAATAAAGTAAAACCTAAAACATTTTAGAGAAGTCACTAACTGAGGCGCAATTAGTTTAAAAACAACTATATTTTCTTATTTTCAGTCTCTTATGAGGATTTAGTCTAAATGAAATTAGCTGTATCTTTTTAAATAAGTCATAAGCATTTTAAGCAATAAGAGGTTGATTCATCTACAGGCTTTTTGTGGCTATTTTAACTGTGGAATGACATTGATTATAGTGTTTTTTTTCCTTTTTCCAAAGTATCACTCAACATGAACCAAATTACTTAGTCTGAACTGCAGTAGTTAAAAATATGAGCTTACCAGAAGAAACTGAAAATACATGTATATTGGTATTAATCAGCTGCTCTTTTATGTTTTTTGTTGTGATTTTGTATTTTTTCAGGTAAAACTTGAAATGTTTTTACTACATTCTAAATGGTGTTTGTTGATGGCCAGCAGGCTGTGCTGTGGGACAACTAACCAAAGACAAACATCAAGGTCATGGCTTGGGGAACTCTTAAATCCCATTAACTGTCTGGTCATTTTCAATAAAAACATTTTGGATGCAGTTCTTTGCAGCATTTTAACATTTATAATAAATTAAACTGATCGAGTGAACCTCAGGGGAAGGAGGTGACCTTGATTGATTTAGGATTGGCATGTACAATGTTTTCTTATCTGATAGGCAGCACTGGTGCAAACTGATGTCACTGATAGTGATTTTTTCCCTCCTGTGTCCCTAGAGGATTAAACGACTGGAAGAACAGACTCCCACAGGCCTCCCGTTCTCTGCCTCCGGCTTTATTTGGCGAATTGTTGCAAAATGAGGAAGAGGTGTTTCGTAAGCAGAAGCAGCACATTTGTAGCTTTTGCTTTTCTTTTTTCTTTTTTCTTTTTTTTTTAGAGGGCCTTTAGTGCTATTGTGCTGCAACTGTCTGAACAAGACAAATTGCCGTACCTGTTTCTTTTATTTCAAGGACGAATGTTTACCTGGAGCTGTTTGATGAGAGCAGGAAAATACAAAATGGCACTCAAACAAATAGGTGTTCCAGGCTGGGTCTCAGTCACTTTATGATTATTGTAGTTCTTCATCCTGGTACCCTAAAATGAGCTTCCTCTTCCTAGATAGATGACATTACAGTGTAGCCTTTATAAAACACTGATTTTAGAGAGCTTGCTTTGCTAAATTTGTTTGTCAACAACATAAAAAGCTTAAGTTGTTTTTATAGATTTAAAACTAAGACCATGAAACTTTACAATTTACAATTTCAGCAAGATTTACCTGTTGAAAGCCACAATTCTGATAGGTTATCAGGCATTTCCAAATTACCTCCACATTCCCATTGAAACCATTTTTGATCTGTTTATCTGCTCTGAGCTGCTCTCCGTCTTTCTCCAGCCTCTGCCAGGTCTGGCAGGCCTCTTTTATTTTCCTATCCCCTCCATCTCTGCATTCCTTCATTTTGGCGTCTCGCTCTGTCACCCCCTTCCATGGTCACGTCCTCTCTTTTCTTCGCTTGCTCAGTCTGCAGATCGTCCCGCTTGCTCTGGGTTTAATCACAGTTTCGTCACGCTCCGTCTCAGTGTCCTTCAGAGGACTCCTGCTCTCTGATCGGGGCTCTTAAAGATCATGCGCTCATACTTGTTTACATAATTTATGTTTGTAGAAATCATCAAAGCCCCCTGGTAATGCATTGATCAGGCTGTTAAAGGCTGGCTATTTTGCTTGAAATGGTCAATGTGCCTGTTAAAATGACTTATTTAAGTTCTGGGTTATGTTTATTTGGAAGTAAAGAAAGAGGCATTCATGCTGCGTGTTCACCTGGTTTTCCACTGGTACTGGGTAGTGTCTGTCCTTGAATTAATGCATATGTACCTATTCATGTCTGATTGAATTTGTCAGGCATAATTCAAACTGTAACCAAAGATCATAAGATCATGACTGAAAGAAAGAACCTTCAGATACAAGCAGATGAAATAAGCTGCCTGTTGCTTTCTGGATGTTTATAGGAAGCCTCCCTAATAGTGTATTTGAACTGAATGGGATTCCAACTTTTTTTCCAGCACATTCATGTGTTGTTTATTGCTTGATATTTTGCCAGCATTCACATGGCTGGTGATAACGCTTCGTTCCCTCCGTTTTTTTACTTTACAGCATCATCAGATAGAGGGAGCGTCTATCTGCTGTTTGCCAGTTTAAACTAAGCATGGGGAACCTGGATTTTACCAAGCAAGTCCAGCTGCTTTATTCATTATGGAAAAAAAACGAACAGCGGCGCTGGTGTTGGGTTCCCTGTGTTCACCAAAACCTCCAGAGATGCTCCCAGTTAAGAAAGTCTGGGAGCCAGTCTGGTAAGACAGGATGACCTCTGGAGCTCAGGGAGGACATCATAAATGTAGTGTAAGCGCTAGAATGAGACAGCTCCTCAGGTGGGCAGAAGAGGCATGTGACAGGGACCATACCTAGTGCTAATGGGGGATTATGAATGATTTAACAGTCCTTTTAGGGCTGATTAAAATAGGGATAACATGTTAATTGTTTGCTCTCATCATGTCATTTGTGTTCAAGCGACCAACAGGAAGAAACACCAGGCAGACCCAGAACTCGCCGTTGGGATTATGCATCCTTTTGGTCCCAAACACTTTGGGATCCTTCGGAATGAGATGAAAAGTTTTTAAGGTTAGGGAGATGTAAGGGTTTATCTTCCAGATCTGTTACCTTTCCGCTGTCGAATAATTGCAAAAGTAAAAGAATGTTATAGTTACAAAAAGTTGTGGTTAAAAAGTTTTAGTTATCAAGCTGGAAGTGTGGACCTTAGACACAATGTTGGAAACCAAACAAGCACAATCAGTACTGTACCTCTTCTGATGTCTTTCCAACCACCTGTCATCAGAGGTGGGTAGTAATTAGCTACATTTACTCAATTACATTTATTTGAGTAACAATAAAAAAAAAAAAATTCTTTTAGGAATAGTTTTACTCTGCCGTACTTACTTACTTTTACTTAAGTATTATTCTTGTAAAGAATACTACTACTTGACTAAAATCTCTGACTACTTTGTTCTGTGAGTAATTTGAACTATTCCAAAATCAGGTAAACATACACTAAACAGTAGATATTAACAGTGGAAGTTGTTGCCTTGTCCTAACATATATACAGCTCTAATTGTAAGGATTGGTTTTATGTTGGAATATTTATAAAAGTATTTATTCTGCACGAATCTGTTCTTTTATATTCATGATATTATTTATATTTTTTAGGCATTTGAGTCTCTAAAATGCCAGAACTTGCACATAAAATCTGTTTTCTAGCATCATTTATAAACATAAAATCTGATGCTTAGGTATTCAGTACTATAGTAGCCTTTTTACCAAATACTTTAAAAAAAAATTTACTTGAGTGAGTTGTTGGATGACTACTTTTTACTTTTACTTGAGTGTCTTAGGATAGTCACTTGGCTGGTGGGTAAAGACAGATGTTGAACATCAGCTCAGTGTGGTAAAAGGTCTCTTAAAAATATAATTTCTCAACAAGATTTTTCCTTGTAAATAAAGTCGAATAAAGATGAAAAAAATCCTCTCTGAGATGACAGCCACTGATCTTTCACTAAACTCTCCCTTCAAACCTTAACTCGTAGGTTACACCAAACATTGCTCTTCTTTGAGCCTGCTCCATTCCACTCAGCCTATATTGCTTCTGTTCTTCTAGCCCAGTAACGCTTTCTTGGAACCTTCTCAACGGATGATCAAGGCGAAAATGTCATGTGAACAGCCTGTTATTTTCTGACTGACCATGGGCATGTTTAGTCATATGATTATCTTTCCTTTGAGACTGTCTACAGACATAAACAGAACAACAACAAAACTTAAAAATGCGCTTCTTTCATATATTCAGCTAGTGTTTTTACTCTTCCAACTATCTTTCAACATCAGCCTAAATGGAGTCATATTAGAATAAACAAAAACTTCTTAAGCAATTTCCAGATGGACAAGGAAGCGAGGAGTATCTGTTTTAAGTCGGCAACTTCAGCACAAATTCCTATCATGCTAATATTCTGGAGTTTAAAAAAATAACCTTTTTTGTGGAAGATTCTGTTGAACATCAGTTATTGAAGTACAGTTGCTTTGGATGTACGCCTGGTTTGAATAGTGAGATTTCATGAATTTCACAGTCCCACTCTGATCTCACTGGATGTGTTTTCATGTGGACTTTTAAAAAGATTTCTTACATTCAAGAATCAACCTGGATGTTTTAGATATTTTATCTATTGTTTATGTAGATAAGTTATTTCTGGTAGAATTACTTAAAGTAAAAGGATTTTCTCAGTTTCCAGTAGTTACTCATACTTTTATTTCCCAACCTATTGCTAGTTAGAACACTCCTATATTGTTATAGAAGGTTTAAAAACACCCAAAGTAATCTGAATTTGATCTCGTAAAGTTTTTTTTTATGGGAATAGCCTTGGACTTTTTTTTTTAGCATCTCATCATCTGTGTAGTAAATCATGAGGGTGCATCAGAGACACTGAATATGAAACTGAAAAATGTATTTGTTTGGAGGTCACCGCATGTTGTTTGTTAAAGGATAGAGCCCTATAATGTTTTTTTTTTTTTTTCATTCTTTTTTTTCGCAATCACAGCCATACCAAAGCTACCAAGCTTGGGTGGAAACGGATGATCTCACAGTAATCTTTGTAATAACCCTTCAGCTAAAGGAAGGTGAAAGGTGAAAGATGATGGATACTATTAATATGATGGATACTATTAATAACAACCACCTGTACGGTTAAACCGTACAGGTGGTTGTTATTTCTGTTGCATATTTGCCTCCTTGCCTCCTGATCAGAGATGGCTGAGAGACTGTCACTTGAGGAGAAAATGTTTATCACAATCCCACAAAACCCAGTTAGAGCTAAAAAAGCCTCTTAATTTAAGAGCAACCAAAAAACATTTCAAATTCTTCCCATGAATTCCAGTTACTGGTAGAGTCACATAATGAAGTTCCCAGCAACCATGAAGTTTGGAAATAATTCTTTTCAAAATTCAGTCAAAGCCCAATCAAACCTCTCAAAGAACAATTTGTAACCAATCAGGTGCTCAAAATGCCTGCTGATATCAAATTTGCACTGATAAATCTTAAACACAGTCTTCCTTCAACAATACCCATTGATGATATCCAGCAGCCAACTGATGGTGCTAAATAAAAGTAATAAGATGGGAAAATTACTTTTCCTTTAATCCCTTAGCCTCCTTTAGTTTGTAATTATTTCTAATGTATTTTTCTCCTCACGCATAATTCATTTTAGCCTTTTCTCATTCATTTTACTGGATATGATCTTAGCTCATTTGAATAAACATTTTGCTTCATATTAGTGTGGCTAATGAAGTGAATCTCTGAAGAAAAATCCTTTTGTTAGAGAGCAAGGACTACTGCTGCTCATAGATTGTCAATCTGGTCAGGTCAGTGGGGGAACTGCTAATTGGATATCAGATTTAATCTATTGTAAAGGGCCAACAATGAG